TGAACATATGAAAATAAAAGCACAAAGGTGGGAGCAGGGAATGGTGATATATTGGAGCAAAATGCCTGTTTTGTGAGAATTAAGTTGTTATTCTGAAATAGATTGTGGTAAATTAAGATACGTATTGTAATCTGTGAGCAAACTAAGAAAATAACTCAAAAAAAAAGTAAAAAATCAACAGAGGAATTGAAATGGTACACTTAACATAAGAAAACGGTAAAAGAGAAACAGAAAAACAAACCAAAAAAAGTATGAAACAGATAGAAAAAGGATAGCAAAATGGGACACAAAATCCAACCATATCAGTAATTCTATTAAAAGTGGACAGACCGAACACTTCACCCAGAAGACAGAGATTGTCAGTATGGATTAAAAAACACGACCCAACTATGCACTGTCTACAAGAGACATACTTCAGATCCAAAGACAGAAATAGGTTGAAAAGTAAACAGATGGAAAAATGCATACTACGCAAATAGAACACTCCACCCAATGAATACAGAATAAATATTCTTTACAAACAGACTTGGAACATTCTCCAGGATAGAGCATAGATTGGACCACTAAACAAGCCTTAATAAATTTAAGAAGATTAAAGTCATATACAATGTTCTCTGACCAGAACTAGAGAATTAAAACCAGATATTCATAAGAGAACAAAATCTGGGGAAACCCCAAGTATTTGCAAATTAAGCAACACACTTCTGAATAACCCATTAGTTAAAGACAAAAATCACAAGAGAAATTTTAAAAATATTTTCAACTGAAAGAAAATGAAAAGCCATCAAAATTTAGGGGATGCAACTACAGCAGTGATAGAGTTCTGAATTCCTATGTCAGAAAAGAGGAAAGAAAGCTGAAATCAGTAACAAACTTCAACATTAGGAAATTAGAAAAAGAAGAGCAAACTAAGCCCAAACCAAGAAGAAGGAGGAAATAACAAAGATTAGATTGGATATCAGTGAAATAGGAAGCAGAAAAACAGTAATAAAATCGATGAAACCAAAAGCTAGTTCTTTGGGAAAAAATCCAAGGGCCAGCCTGGTGATGCAGCGGTTAAGTTCGCACGTTCCGCTTCTCGGTGGCCCAGGGTTCACTGGTTTAGGTCGCGGGTGCAGACCTGGCACCTCTTCGCAAAAGTCATGCTGTGATAGGTGTCCCACGTATAAAGTGGAGGAAGATGGGCATGGATGTTAGCTCAGGGCCAGTCTTCCTCAGCAAAAAGAGGAGGATTGGCAGTAGTTAGCTCAGGGCTAATCTTCCTCAAAAAAAAGAAAAGAGAAAAAAATCCAAAGAATTTACAAACCTAGACTAAGAACATAAGAGAGAAGACACAAGTTATCAAAAGCAAGAATGAAGGAGAGGACTTCAAAAATATCATGAATAACTTTATGCCAACAAATTAAACCTAGATGAAATGGACAAATTCCTGGGAAGACACAAATTACCAAATTTGACTCAAGAAAATAATAGACGATCTGAACAGATCTATGACAAGTAAATTCAGTGAACAATTCAAAATCATCCCACGAAGAACAGCCCGGGCCCAGATGGCTTCACTGGTGAGTTCCAGCAAATACTTAAAGAAGAAATAATACTGATCTTCAAACTGATTCATGAAAAAAGGAAACACTTCATAACTTACTCTGTGAGGCCAGTATTCTTCCCATAGCAAGCCAAACAAAGACATCACAATAAAAGGAAATCCACTGATCAGTATCCCTCAGGAACACAAATGCAAAAGTACTTAACAAAATTTTAGCAAACTGAATCTAGCAACATATAAAAGGATTTTGGATCATAACCAAGTGGGATTTATCCCAGAAATACAATTGTGATTTAACATCTGAAAATTGATTAATGTAATATCTCATAGTAGTTAGTAGAATAAAGCAGGAGTCAGCAAACTTTTTTTATATGGTGCTGAATAAGTAACTATTTAGGCTTCATTGGTCATACAGACACTGTCACAACTACTCCGCCCTGCTGGTGTTTTACAAAAGCAGCCATAGACAATACATAAACAAATGAGCATGGCTGTGCTCCAATAAAACTGTTTCTGGGTGCTCACTTCTGAATTTCATATAATTTTCGCATGTTACTAAATAGTATCTTCTTTTGATTTTCTTTAAACCATTTAAAAAGCGTCAAAACCATTCTTGACTTGTGGGCCACATACAACTGGTGAGATTTACTGCCCTCTGGAATGAAGGACAAAACCCACATGGTCATCTCAGTTTGATAGGCAGCCTCTAAAATGGCCCCCAAATAATCCCTGCCTCCTAGTATTCACACCCTTGTGTAATCTTTTCCCCTTGAGCATGGACTGGACCTAGTGACTCATTTCTAACAATAGAATACTGCAGAAGAGATTGGATGTCGCTTTGGAGATTAGGTTACAAAAAGACTGTGGCTTCCGTCTTGCTCTACTTTCTCTCGGGGCTCTGGCTCTGGGGGAAGCAAGCTGCCCTGTTGTGAGTAGCTCTGTGGAGAGGCCCATGTGGCAAGGAACTAAGGTCTCCAGCCAACAGCCAGCAAGGACCTGAAACCTACCAAAACCCAAATGAGTGAGCTTGGAATTGGACCTTCTGAGTTCTGCCAACAGCCACCGAAATGAGCTTGGAAGGGAATCTGCCCCCAGTTAACCTTTGAGATGATTGCAACTGTGGCCAATACCTTGATTGCAGCCTTGTGAGAGGTGGAGTCAGAGGCATCTTGCTAAGCTGCCTGTGCCTATATTCCTGACCCCAAAGCTGTGAGATACTAAAGATTTGTTGTTTTAAGTTGCTCAGTTTTGGGGTAATTTGTTATGCAATGATAGATAACTAATACATCATTAGATAAAGAAAAAGTGCATGACAAAATCCAACATCCGTTCATGATAAAAATTCTCAGCAAAGTAGGAATAGAAGGGAATTTCCTCAATCTGATCAAAGGCATCTGTGACAAACCTACTGCTCACTTAATGGTGAAAGACTGAGTGCTGTACCCGAACATCAGGAGAAAGACAAGAATGTTAACTCTGGCCATTTCTGTTCAGTGTTCTATTGGAGATTCTAGCCAGTGCAGTAAGTTTGAAAAAATAAAAAGAGCATAGGAAAGAAGTAAAACTGTCTTTACTTGCAGATAACATAATTCTAAAAGAAGTGCCAGATAGCTACACTGGAAACCAGAAAACATTACTGAGAGAAATTAAAGAAAACATATTAAGAATATATAGGGAACTCTCGCAGTCAATAATAAGGCAACCCAATTAAAAATGTGGTAAACACTTGGATAGACATTTCACCAAGGAAAGAGACGAATGGCTAATATAAGCAGAAGAAAGTATGTTCATTACAGAATTGTAAAAGTCATAATACGATTACACTCTATACCCAATAAGATGACTATAATCAAAAAGAGAGACACTGCCAAGTGTTAGCAAGAATGTGGAGAAACTGAGACCTTCATTCATTGCTGTTGGGAATGTAAAATGATACAGCCACGTTGGAGAACAGTTTGGCAGTTTGTTAAAAATTCAAACGGGCCGGCCCCGTGGCCGAGTGGTTAAGTTCGAGCACTCTGCTTTGGCGGCCCAGTGTTTTGTCAGTTCAAATCCTGGGCACGGATATGGCACCAATGCTGAGGCGGCTTCCCACATGCTAAGGACCCACAACTAAAAATACACAACTGTGTACCGGGGGGCTTTGGGGAGACAAAGGAAAAATCAAATCTTAAAAAAAAAAAAGTCAAACATAGGGGCCAGCCCCATGGCTGAGTGGTTAAATTTGTGCACGCCACTTTGGCGGCCCAGGGTTTCGTCAGTTTAGATCCTAGCCTCACTCATCAAGCCATGCTGAGACAGCATCCCAAATAGCACAGCAAGAAGGACCTGCAACTAGAATATACAACTATGTACTGGGTGCTTTGGGGAGAAGAAGAAGAAGGAAAATAAAAAGGATTGGAAACAGATGTTAGCTCAGGTGACAATATTAAAAAAAAGTCAAACATAAACTTAGTATAGGACCTAGCAATTCTACTCCTAGGTGTCTACCCAGAAGAACTGGAAACAGTACCACACAAGGTCCTAAGAAACATCAACCAAGTAGAATGTTTGGCTCTTATTTGGATCTTAATTTGAACAAATCAGCTTGACAAAGGCATTTGTGAAACAATTGGGGAAACTTGAACAGAGACTGGATATCAGACACCAAGGACTTAAGTCCTGATCTATTAGAAAAATGTCCTGAAATATTTATAGGTGAAATAATATGTCTGGGATTTGCTTTAAAATACTGGAACAATAAAAGGAGGGGAAATAGATGGAATAGTAATAGTAGAATATTGATAAATGTCAAAGCTTAATAATGGTATGTGTGTGTTCTCTGTTATTCACTCTTGTGTATATTTGAAATTTCCCATAAGTTAAAAAAATTAAACCGAGAACCTGACCACTGTGGGAAAGGGCCTTTAAGAAATTCATAAAGGAAAGTAGATAGTAATATTACATAACTTAGCTTGTTGCAGCCCAGTACTGGTCCATCCTCTGTATACCTTGCAAAAACGCAATTATCTTGTTACTGCTGTGCAAAAGGTTATCTTGAGCAGAGATTTAAGTGAAAGAGCAGAGGCAGAGCTTTCAGTCTTCATATTTCACCGCTTGCTAGCAGGTACTGGCTAGCTTTCTGGTGTTCCTGGATTTGCAGAGTGCATGCAAATCTCTTAGCATGTCTGTAATTTGCTTTCAGTAGCTGTTAACATTTCCAGATGAGAATCAAGCACCATCTTTCCCTCATGCAAATTCTCATACATAGCACAGCTTCTTTTTATCCTGTGTGAATGACATCTGCCTCTTATTCAACGTGAAAGGTCCCGGGATTTATAATTGCTTTTATTTGGGGTATGGAAATTTTACAGTTCTTATATACACATACGTGTTTAATGAGAATTGTGTATGATATACTAAGGATGTTTTCTTATTTGTTTATTCATTATTTTCTCCTTTTTCCATTTTTCAGTACATGTACTAGCCTTAGCAAGTTCTGTTCCAAACTCAGGCACCTTGACTTGGCTTCCTGTACATCAATAACAAACATGTCTCTAAAAGCTCTGAGGTAAATTTCTTATAACAAGAATGTCCAATTATCAGAACAAATAATTTTTTTTAATAACTGAAAATTGGAATTGAAGGAAACTGTGTTAGGGATATATACTGTAGTTCAGAATATGTCTTTTATTTTATCACTTGCCCAAATTACAGGACACATTCAGGTGAAATGACTAGACGTAACTGGGATTTCTGAACAGTGTAAGTCCAGTTTACACATGAATGATTAGATTTTTATGAAGGCTTCTCCTGATCCACTCCCCCACCCCCCACAAACGGCACATGTTATTATAGCCTAGTGATAAAAGCAGTGCTCTGGAGTCAGGTTATCAATCACATACTTTGAACAAATATAATCCTTGTAAGCTTTTCCTTATCATCTCATAGGATTATTATTATTTGATAGTATTAGACCAACCCATATAAAGTTGCCAGTATTCAACAGTTTTTGTCTTCGTGTGGTTCAACCTAATATATATAAAGTTCTTAGCAGAGTTTCTGCCATGTAGTAAGCACTCAATAAGTTTTAATTGTTTCAATGTTAATGTATTTTTTAAAGTACATTACAGAAGATATATCTTAAAAGGAGAATGAAATGCCCACTCTCTTTGTAACTTTATTTTTTTGTCTTCCTTTTATAAATGATTGTGGTCCCATGTATTGGTTACGTTTAAGAATAGTAAGAATTAAGCTATTAAAAGAAGAAATGTAGATCTAGTTAAGTTGAGTATAAGTAATCTAAAAGTGTGGCTCCTTCTTAGACTTTCATTGTGAATATTGAGCACATATGTATCTAAGGCTGTTGGCCATGTAGGATAATATAACAACATTTATAGTTTATAAAATATTTTCGTATAAGTGATCTCATTTATTTGAAAACCTTGTGAGGTAGATAGGACAGACACTTTATAGATAAGAAAATCCAAAACATTTTTGAATGCGAGGTACTGTGATTCAGCCGTAGAATATAACTGAATAAGATATTGTTGCTGCCCTTAAGTTGCTCAGAGTCCAGTGGGAGGAAAAAAAAACCCCTAAGCATGTCATCATATTGCAGTGTGACAAGTGCTGTGATTGAAGTGAGTATGTCAGTTTGGGGAGAACATAGATGGGGCTACAGCTAACCTTGGTTTAAGAGAAGTTTGGGAAGGCGTCCTAAAGTCACACTATTAATGTTGAAGAATGAACTTGAACCAAGATCCCCTGGCTTTATTTTATGAAACAATTAAAGCAATGTTTTCCAAAGAATGTCATAGAGCTCAGGATTCTTCCGTAGTTCAAATGTGAAATCAGAGATCAAAGATGAAGCTAGTATTTGATAGAAGGCAGATAGTGAATACAATATATCCTACATTGAGCCTGTGGAAAAAGTAGTCTACATACTTCCTAGATAAGGGAAATTTATACATCCTTGTAATTTTTTAAGTAAAATTTTAAATGTTTTTGTTATTACTCTAATAAATAATAGATTTATTTGATAGAAAATCTGGGTTTGAATCTAAACTCTTTAGTTACTGTTAACCTGAACAAGTCACTTACTTTACATTTCCTATATAGAGACCTTTTAAATATGTGATAAGTGCAAAAAGGATATATTTTGAAAAGTATAAACCTCCATAAAAATCTAATATATCTGGAAAACAAGATTGTGTTTGTGCTTGTTGGTTAAGGTGGATTTGAGATGGCCCTCCGACTGATACAGTCCCACATGAACACCACAAGCATTGATAAATCTGCTTTTTTTGTTGTTGTTATGGGATAACCTATGTTCTAAATCTACATTAAGTAGATTTATGTATATGAATATGTATGTTCTTGTAGCATAGCATGGGGCTGTATCCATTCCCTGACTAAATAGTCAATAAAATAAGAATTTGGTGCCTTTGGAATTGGATTTAGTCATATGTTTGTTTCATTTTGTTTTTTGCTAAGTGAGGGATGTCCACTGTTGGAGCAACTGAACATTTCGTGGTGTGACCAAGTAACCAAGGATGGCATCCAAGCACTAGTGAGAGGCTGTGGAGGGCTCAAGGCCTTGTTCTTAAAAGGCTGCACACAGGTAATACTCCATGTAGTGTTTATGAATGATAGAGGAACCATAAACTTTGTAGATAGCCCCAAGATGTTAGCTTGAGGGATATGTAGTTGTTACATATTATTGACCAAAGATACATACTTACTAAAAATTTGTTTTCCACAGAGTAAAAAAATATAAGAAGAATTAACATCTGACCAAAGAGAAATTTTTGAGAGGAGGCCAGATGGGGAGACAAAATGATACTGAGCATGCACCATAGTCAAGAAGAGTTTCATGCAGTTTAATCTGAAAAGGAAAACATGCCATGTTGTCACTGCCTGAGATCTTGAACTAGATAGGCAAGGAAGGTAGTCTTGGCAATTTTCACTAGTTGTTTAACCACCAGGAGCTTTTCTTAAATGTGCCAAGTATACAGCAACCTACATTTTACAGTGTTGATGCTTATTTCCAGTCACATTACAAATCCAACGTATTTTGTCATTAAAAATTTTACTATCTCAGTGTTTTACAGTGAAAAAGAAAAAGTGACATGGTAGCATCTGGAAGGAAGTGGTCAAGAGTGGGTTTAGAAGTGACTGACAACAAAGTAGGCCTAGGCTCTTATTACCTTAATTTATTAATGGTTACTAAAACCAGGCCTTGGATTCCATTAAAAATACCTTCATTCTTTCACCGTAATGGGAGGAGCTCCATTGTTTGAAACAGCTTTGGAAGTATGACTGCCTTAAAACAACAGCTTGAGCTTCTGGTTATTTATGGAATCCTGAAAAATATTGATTGGAATGCATCGTTATAATCAATTACTTGCCATCTGTTCTCTGCACTGTGCGCATGGCACTGATCTACCAGCAGCAGATAAGCTATGGATGCCTTTCTCAGCTCCTGCTCCCGAAAGTTTCTTTTCAAAAGACTTTATAGGGAGTGTAGAAATGTGAAAATTATTTTAGTTTCATAATCCGTTAGCAAAACGCTGTGAGCCATGTTTAATTTATCAGAAGAAAAATTCATAAACGTTAGGCAGTGTTTATCTTTTCCTTGATTTGGTGATAATAGGAATTTGATGTGGTCAGAACTGATGAAAAATACTGATAACCATACTAATCATGTGAATTACACCTTATGTGATCATAGTTCATTGTTTCTGTTTCCTTGTTCCTTTGAAACTTGGTTGGCTGTTTAGAATATATCGATCAATGTGTACACTCTTAAATCTTTTTCCTTTGAAACAGTGTCAGTAATCATTTTTTTTCTTTCTTTTTAATCTTTCTAGCTAGAAGATGAAGCACTGAAGTACATAGGTGCACACTGTCCTGAACTGGTGACTTTAAACTTGCAGACTTGCTTAGTAAGCCATCCTTCGCACAACTCTTCCGTATTAATAATTCATTTCAGTAATATTATTGTAAGAGTTTCTGTCATCAAGACGATGGGTTTTTCCATTTCAACCCAGGGGACACAGTAAACGCACAGATGATTCTTTGCATACTTGACAATATGCACTCCTGAGGGCTTTGACATACATTAGATAGAGGGTAGCTTATGCAGAATTCCACATAAGCTAACTGCAACTCCACCCCTTTCTTTTTGACTTAAGAAAACTCTACTTTTTAGAAGTAAATTACTCACAAACTTCAGTATTTAAAATATTTTTGGTAAATTAATTGCAATCATACCAATTAAGACCTATTAGTGGACTGTAACTATTGGGAACCACACTGATTTAAACAGATGACAAGCAAAATGTACCGTTTAAATTATTTTCAAGTAGTATTTGTAGTTTACATTTGGCTTGTTTAGACTATCAGCTTTTTTGTGTCTATCCCAAAACTCCTGAATTTTGCTCAGAGAACTTGCTGAAATTATTCAGGGTCTTAGAACATTGACAATACACCTGTAGCTTTTCTGTCTTGCCTTGAAAATTACATATGTGTTACCTTTGAGTGAGAGCCTCTCATGGCAATGAAAAACGTTGATAAGGGTTTTTGCCAAGGCTTCTGCTTATTATACCCTCCCCTTCTTGTTTGATCACCTAAAACCTGAGGATATCGTAGTTGTTTAGTTTAAAGGTGATACAGAAAGGGCCACATTTTGTGCAGTTTCAGCTACCTGTTCTTCCAGCCCTTAAGGGATGGTGCTGATAATGATCTGTTTAGGAGGCTCCTGAGACTGAGTTAAAGGAATGACATTTCTTTTTAATTCTGATTCCCATAGTTGCTAACTACTAGACTTTGCCTAATTTCATTTGTGAAACCGAAATATTTGGCCTGCGAGAAAGAGCTTGGAGGATTCTTGTAAATGAAACCATCAGTTTACAGTGATAGGAAAAAACTGTTTGGGGCATCTTCAGATTTTATTTATATACGGTCATGCATCACTTAACTGTGCGCATACATTCTGAGAAGTGCGTGGTTGGGCAATTTCATTGTTGTGCGAACATCATAGAGTGCACTTAGACGAACCTAGATGGTATAGCCTACTACACACCGAGGCTATGTGGTACTAATCTTATGGGACCACTGTTGTGTGCAGTTTGTTGGTGACCGAAATGTTGTTATGCAGTGCATGACTGTACATATACACATACTCTGTATACATGTTACATATAAACTCATACATACAAATACATATATATCATGCCTACCGTTTGCCATTTTAGTTTTGTTTCCTTTACTCTTCCAGCAGACAGAAATCACAGTTGGTAAGCATAAAGAACCAGTTCTATCCTATGTTTATGTTACTATTTCCCTTCACCCAGATCTTAGGGCATGAGTCATTTCTTCTGTACAGTATGATGAAATGATTCTCAGCATTCATGAGACTTCATGTTCCTGCCCAGAACTATTGAAGTAACCAAAGTACATTCTTGATCCATTTGCTTTTTTTTAAGTAATTTGAAAACATGAAAGTTTAGTAAATTTTACTCTCTTTAAAATTAAAAATATCGGTGATGTGACTTTCCTCATCTTTGTTCCTAGATAATCCCTTATAGACTTTAAAACATTAAGAAGGCAGCACAGCCCTGCAATACTTTCTTAATATTGTGTGACACAAATTCCATTGGCTTGCTAAATATGCGTGTTTATTGATTGCTGCTTCCGCCTTTACATATCAGTTATCCTTGTTTAGTAATAACAATACATCACATCTCTGTGGCACTTTTTTAGGTACTTCCATATGTGTATATACCTCATTAATTTATCCTCATGACAGATCTTATATTTGCCTTAGTATCCGTTTTTTATTTTGTTTCAGTTGTACAATATTGAGAACGTGCTGATTTAAAAAGTGAATATTTAATGTTTGATTTTTTTTTCACTTGTCCTTGCAACCTAAGGATACTGTGTGATTAAACAAAGATGATAGGAGAGATTTATTCTGAGACTTAGACAAAATTAATGAACCTAGCTGGACAAATTGAAGTTCTGACCCTATCCAACATGTTAAGATGTTCATATGTGACATCTTTTTTTTTTTTACTGTACATCTTTGTGTATTCTTTTTTAATTTTAAAATGATTTAAAATATATAAAATTCTGTGTGGGTTGGACACAACTGTTTTTCTCCATAAATTAGGATATTCTTTATCATATAAAACTAAAATATGGAAATAAATGAGTCTTTTGTTGATAACGAGACTGCAGCTTCATCCACAAGTTGTTTCATTTTTTCAGTAGCTTAATATCATTATCAATTTTGAACTTAAAAATGTGTTTGTACTATTAAAATACTGCTGTTCCTACCTGTTTTCTAGATTTTAAAATCATTTAATTGAATCTACACCATGATGGGCCCCATACTGTTCCCAGTCCCCTTAGGTTAAAAGAATCCCATATAGCTTCTTCCCTTTACACCACAAATGAGCACAGATTTCTGTCGCAAACTAAATCCAAAGGAAGTGAGGGGAGGAAGAGACAAAAATGTGTTCATTTTCTTTTAGTTCTGCTTCCTGATTGATATTAAATCTGCTTTTGTTTCTTTTGGGTGCTTATTTTTGCGGAAGTAACTTTTTTCCTTCTTTTTCTTCTGCTAAGTTGCTAATATCTATGGGATTTTTTACTCTTGTTTTTTAGCAAATCACAGATGAAGGTCTCATTACTATATGCAGAGGGTGCCATAAGTTACAGTCCCTCTGTGCCTCCGGCTGCTCCAACATCACAGATGCCATCCTGAATGCTCTAGGTCAGAACTGCCCGCGACTTAGGTAAACATTTCTTGTTTAGCTCAAAAAAATCAGGGGAAAGAAACAGAGGCCTCCTTCACCCTATTTATTCCTTGGAACCTGGAATGTTTAAGGTAGATACTCCAAGGCCATTACCTTTTTAGATGCCCACTACTTGCTTTGTACCTCATTTGATTACATGTAATAGGCCTGAACCAAGGGGTAATAGTCCTCATTTTCTGTATCTTGCTATCCATACTAGAACAAAATCAACATTTTTTTCCATGACTTGAGAAAAGAAATAAAAGCATTTTCTCTTATTAATGCCTTCATATAATGCCTTTCTGAAGAAAGTTCTCACCCTGTGGTCATGTATATTGTAGTAATGATGCCAGGTACTTAGCAGGGAGTATTTAAAAGAAAAAACAGCCCCACAAGAGAATCTCCTTCGTGCTGATGGTCTTTTAGAACAAGGCTTATTTCTCTATGGCTTCTCCTCTCTGCCTAAATGTAGGATTGGCTGAATATTTACTAAGATTGCTGGGTTACCACATACATGGTATCAAACCCATATTGATTCTATAAGAATGCACAATACACTATTTTGTAATAAATAAGAATGATCCCCATGTATGTCTTTTGTTTTTTAAAAACAAAACTTTTATTGTACTTATTATGTGTTAGCCATTGTGTTAAGTGATATGCAAATAGTAGTTTATTTAATCATCATAACATCATATAAGCCCTGGTATTATCTCCATATGAGAAACCAAAGCACAGAGAAGTCAAGTAACCTGTTCAAGCTCTTACAGCTAGTAAGTGCAGGAGCAAAGATTCACACTCAGGCAGTCTGGCTCTAGAACCCATGAAACCACTTGTGTTACATATAACAATCATTGTAAACCAATAAAACTTGCTTAGGGGCTGGCCCGGTGGCAGAGCAGTTAAGTGCACATGTTCCGCGTCGGCGTCCCGGGGTTTGCCGGTTTGGATCCCAGGTGCAGACATGGCCCCACTTGGCAAGCCATGCTGTGGTAGGCGTCCCACATATATAGTAGAGTAAGATGGGCACGGATGTTAGCTCAGGGCCAGTCTTCCTCAGCAAAAGGAGGAGGATTGGCAGCAGATGTTATCTCAGGGCTAATCTTCCTCAAAAACAAAAAAACTTACTTAAAAACTTTTTTTTTATAATCACCTGTCCATGGGCCTAACCATAATTATTGAAAGAAAATTTGCCTACAGTATCAAAATTCTTTTACTAGATCATAGACTTCTTGGTCAAAATTAGTAATAACAAGCCTAGAGCAAAGTACTATTCAGGAGCTAAGGAGGTAGCTAAACTCCTCTCTAAAAATATTACACTTTACCTTTTTCTGTTTTAAAGAGAGGAGTGTTCAGCTCCATCCTCCTTCATGGTTTTTTGTTTGTTTTTTTAAGGAAGATTAGCCCTGGGCTAACATCTGCCACCAATCCTCCTCTTTTTGCTGGGGAAAACTGACCCTGAGCTAACATCCGTGCCCATCTTCCTCTACTTTATATGCAGGACGTCTGCCACAGCATGGCTTGATAAGCAGTGCATAGGTCCTCACCTAGGATTCGAACCGGTACACCCTGGGCTGCCAAAGTGGAACACGTGAACTTAACCTCTGCACCACCAGCCCGGTCCCCTTCATGGTTTATTTTATTGTTAGAATAGAAAGGCTTTCAAATGTGATACTCAGAAGTTGGGTTTCGGGGCTGGCCCTGTGGCTCAGTGGTTAAGTTCTCGTGCTCCGCTTCGGCAGCCCAGGGTTTCACCCGATCGGATCTTTGGTGCAGACATGGCACCGCTCATCAAGCCACGCTGAGGCGGTGCCCCACATAGCACAAGCAGAAGCACTCACAACTAGAATATACAACTATGTACTGGGGGACTTTGGAAGAAGGAAAAAAGAAAAGATTGGCAACAGTTGTTAGCTCAGGTTCCAATCTGAAAAAAAACGAAAAAAACAGAAAAGTTGGGTTTCAGTCAGATCATGATTTCCCATTAGATAGAGCAATTATTTCTAATTGATTGTCAATTGATAATTACTTCTTATACTTTAGCTTTATTTTTTTCAACTTCTGTAGTAAGTGATTTTTAAGCAAACATAAATGTTCTTTGGTACTGCCATGCGGATGCCACCAGGCTTTTCACAGAAAAGAGCTACTTTGGATTCCCTGGTCTTGTGGTTATTTAGGTTGGTGTTTAGCAGTTCCTGAATAGGAGAGTGGCTGCCAGCTCAGCTCCCCTCTCAACTGGGCCTCCCTGGGAGTCTGTGGGAGGAAGCAGAAAGCTTACAAGTATTTTTTCATGCATATGGATTTCATATTTGGGACAGGCCTGTAATTAACCAGTCCCTTCATAGCGTTTTTAAAAGCTATTTAAATCCAAGTGAACCTACATGTAAAATAGGGAAAGAGAATAATTTTATTTTCAGATTAACTGAATCAGACAGATTAACTGAAACAGAGTATTTATCTCCATTTCCTTTGTTTTCTAGGAGCAGGCTGCCCTCTGGGGGTAAGCAGTATGCAATCAAGAAGGCTTTTAAATGCATTTCTCATGCGTTTTGGCATTAACTACAAGCTTCTATTATTATATTCTTCTGATTACATCACCCTAAAATGTGGTATTTTCAGGACCCCCTTATGACGACTCCATGAAAATGAATGGCAAGATCTGTATACAGACTTGCTTAGCTGTTAATGTCACTCTATATTATATAGTCCTTAGGGAATAAGAGGTTGTTTTCTTAAATTCATGCTGTTTTAATAAACCCAGTTTTCAGGGACCAAGGGCTTGACTTTCGCTTTGTCTTTTTACAGAATATTAGAAGTGGCAAGGTGTTCTCAATTAACAGATGTAGGCTTTACCACTCTGGCCAGGGTAAGTATTTTCTCCGGGTTCTGTAGGTTTTGTTGGGGATTTTTTATGTCAGAAGAGTGAGCAATGAGGGAAATGTGGAATGGCAGCAGAGTCGAGGGTGTGGGATGTAGGGGAACTTCTCTGTGCTGGTGTTCTGAGCATTGTTATGCTACAGCTCCAGGCCTATAGAATACAAACTGCTCTGGAAACGCAGGCATGCGTTGTAGAACATGATGCTCCTTCGTAAGACTTGATTTCCCACATTTGCATAAGATGATAAACTAAACAGGGACTTCTAGCGCTTTGTGAAAGAAACTTACTTGGTTATTTGGTATGTTACTGGTGGATGAGAGTAATTTTGAAATAAACATGTAAGTCTGTTTAAATGGAGAAGTTTTCAGAGATTTTCTGTATTCACCAGAAGATTTTAATTCTCAGAGTGGTTTATAAATCACTGTATAATAGTAGTATTTAAAATTATACTGTCTTTGACCAGTGTGATGGAGCATGGGTGAGGACATTTGCTTTCAGGCAGATGGATGGAATCCTAATTGAGTTGGGGGTGGCACATGGCATAATTAAATGAGGATATAAAGCTTACCTTCCACCCTTCCAAAGAAATCATTTTCATTAAATTATTTATGGTTGAAAGGATCTCTGTATCAGTGCAGTGTTAGTGTTCAGCATATTTATTCCCTTGGACTTCTAGGATGTTAGATACTTTAAATGTGGAATAATTGAGAAATTTTTCTGTGATCAAGGCCTTTTAGAATGTGTAATTAATGGAATAAGACAAGTGACATTAGAATGACACCAACTCTGAAACTTTTAAGATTTCATCAGTATATTTAATACTACTACTATGTTTTCTGACCTTAAAATTTTTCCCATGTTTTAACTGTACTATAATGTTTGGTTTTGTATTCTGTAGAATTGCCATGAGCTTGAAAAGATGGACCTGGAAGAGTGTGTTCAGGTAACCTTAGGGATTTTTACTCAGAAATACAGTATGATAGAAACTTAGATAAAATGTGCACATCAGACCGTTCCCTACCCTAGTGTAGTGTAGTACCTGGCAGCACTGCTGACTCTCCGTTTGCTGAGGTGTTGTCCAGGCATACCAGGCAAAGGTGCTCGTGACATATGTGTTAAAGAACTAGAAAAATAGAATCAATAAGGTTGCCATTGAAAAGAAAGAAGACCAAAGCATTTAAGCCATAAAGATGCTATGACGTTTTCTTAGACCTACAGGGTTATGATACTAGTAAATAATTAAAGCCTCATCACACTGATATATAGCACTGCCCTTTTTTAACTTAGCTGGATCCTGGACTCCTTACATCATCAGCCCTGGAGACCCAACTCTCTATACCATATACCTCCTTATCAGCAATTTCTTTTACTACCAAGTTTAAGAGCTTTGAGATTATTAGTTGACTGGGGAGAAACTTTGAAGGGAGACTCTTTTTTTTTTTTTTGAGGAAGATTAGCCCTGAGCTAACTACTGCCAATCCTCCTCTTTTTGCTGAGGAAGACTGGCCCTGAGCTGACATCCTTGCCCATCTTCCTCTGCTTTATATGTGGGATGCCTACCACAGCATGGCTTGTGCCAAGCGATGCCATGTCCACACCCAAGATCTGAACCGGCAAACCCCGGGCAGCCAAAAAGCGGAACGTGCAAACTTAACCACTGTGCCACTGGGCTGGCCCCCTGAAGAGAGACTCTTAAAAAGAAGATGGAGTAATGAATTTTTTTAATGGTAAAAATAAAGAAGAGAAGATACTGTAGTAACTATAGAGGTTAATTTTTTCTGAATTTGTTATCTGGACACTACTTAGCAACTATTCTTCCCCCCCCCACCCAGTTGTACTTACTTTTGAGCTTTATTTTTGTTTATTTATTTTTTGAGGAAGATTGGCCCGGAGCTGACATCTGTTGCCAATCTTCCTCATTTTTTTTTTCTCCCCAAAGCCCCAGCACATAGTTGTATATCCTAGTTGTAAGTCATTCTCGTTCTTCTATGTGGGATGCCACCACAGCATGGCCCAACGAGCAATGTGTACCTCTGCGCCCAGGATACAAACCAGCGAACCCCAGGCTGCCTAAGTGGAGTGTGCAAACTTAACCGCTTGGCCATGGGGCTGGCCTCTATTAGTTCTTACTGAACTAAAACTTGTTCACATCCATCTATCTCTTGCACATGCCTGAGTGTCCTGTGTGTCCCTTCCAGTGTTAGTCCTCCTGAGGGATGTGCACACATCTGCCTACCCCAACTCCCCACCTTCTGCCGTTTTGTAGTCCCTGTGAAGCTATGTATATTATAATCATCATCATCATCTCAGGGTTGAAGAACTGGAAAAGAGGCACTGATTGACTTTCCATCCTAAGATAACTATAAAAGGCTGCTCTTCCTTCCTGAATGTTCATAGTTAACCCAGATTTCAGCAGTCCCCTTCTGCCGCCCTTGGGAAAAAACTGATAGACCGGTTATCAATCCTGTGTTGTGGCATGGCTTATAAAATAGAGGCCAAATATCTAAAAATATGAGGATGTTCCTACAGTTATTTTTTTCATGGAGCAGTGTCTTCTGATTCTTTTCTGTGATGGTTCTAAGCAGGAAGAACAAAGTCTAGTGGTAAGAAGTTACAAGAAAACAAAACAGAATTTTCAGCAGACCTATTCAATGATGAAGACTAGGGATGACTAGATGTGTTCAAGCCTAGTCTGGATAGGTTCTCAAAGAACAGGTTCAGATAGCCGATGGGATTTCAACGTTAAGATTCTGTTTTTTGATGATTGATACCAGGATATCAGGCTAGAATATGTGTAGTCAGGAATGAGGTACAGTCCATGAGGTTTTTTTTGAATTATGCCTAAAATAAACTTACATGTTTCTTTCAGATAACAGATAGCACATTAATCCAACTTTCTATACACTGTCCTCGACTTCAAGTATTGGTGAGTTTGACTTTGAAAGTTTTATGTGTTTATTAGATTTAATCAAAACCAGGCTCTTACTTTCCTCTTAGTGTCTGGCTACCATTTTGGGAAAGCATATGTCTCCAAATTGCCAACTTACAGAAGACCAAGGGAAGACCTGAGTGAAGGAGAAAACTGAGATAGGAATGGAAAACTGACTTTGAGAGTATGAGTTCTCCCTCCTACCTGAATGAATGATATTTAAATTTCCAGAGATCCAAGGGACAAGAAGGCCAAAATACAATTTGCTTCACCTTGGGACCAAATGTTCCCATAAAACAGAACCAATCAAGGCTTTACTATGGGGAGTTCTCTGCTACTTTCCAATAACACTGTGGGAAAGCATTCTGGTTGACTACAGTCATGCATTGTTTAACAATGGGGATACATTCTGAGAAATGCATCATTAGACAATTTCATCATTGTGCAGACATCATAGAGTGCACTTACACAAACCTAGATGGTCTAGCCTGCAACACACCTAGGCTATATGGTACTAATCTTATGGGACTACCATTGTATATGCAGTCCATCATTGACTGAAAAGTCATTATGTGGTACATGACTGTATTCTGTATCTAGGCTCATTTTTGGTGTGTTTGGTGGCACTACCAAAAATTACAGTACTATCCAAAATTAGATCAAGCGTTCTGTGTTTCACATGGAGGAACCAGGGATTTAAGGAAAATTGATAAAGTGAAGAGATTTATGTGAAGAGATCACCACACCTGACAGCTGTAAGAATCATTTTTAGATAATTAACTGTTTGGGCATGCTCCTGTACCAGGTATTCACTATTTAGTCCAAATTCCAAAAATTTTGTGCAGGAAAAGCTTGAGCTCCACTTGCCGCTATAGAGAAGAAAATGTTAATTTGTGTGTGGCAGGGATATTTGTTTATGAACTGTTTCACAGTCATTACATGAATTCACAAAATATGTTTAGAATCACACGCAGAAATGTTAGTCATTTATTGTCAGAAACCCAGCGACTAATACTCCTTTCTTCATTTCACCACATGGATCTAGTGATGGCTCCATAGACATCAAAATCAAACCAGAAAGGTCTCCTTTCTGATTGTACACAGGCCTCTGACTCGAAGAATGCCGTAAGATATTTCAGTGTCCTTCTTTGCTCTGTTTGGCTGCAGAGTCTGTCTCACTGTGAGCTGATCACAGACGATGGGATTCGTCACCTGGGGAACGGGGCCTGCGCCCACGACCAGCTGGAGGTGATTGAACTGGACAACTGCCCCCTCATCACAGATGCGTCCCTGGAGCACTTGAAGAGCTGTCACAGCCTTGAACGGATAGAACTCTATGACTGCCAGCAGATCACACGGGCTGGGATCAAGAGACTCAGGGTAAAGATGGCTGCGTCGCTCTCCAGCTCTAGTGTTCTCAGCACCCTTTCCTTCTTTGTTTTTTGGGATTTTTTTTACTCCATTTCTTATTTCTTTTTTTTTTTTTTTTTAGATTTAGATTCCTGATTTTTATATTTACTTGGACATTTAGCAAAGAGAAAAAAAAATGGAGATCAAACCGAAGGGTGGATAGTTTTTACCTGTTGTTCCAGATGGAAATTTAGTAGGAAAATACCCATGGAAGGGAAGAAAAGTAGGTCTCCTCCCAGCAAATTCTCTCCAGTAATGTCCAGGGCCTAATAACATGCCCAGAGTCAAAAAAAAAAAAACAACATGCCAGGTTTTGGTTCAAAAGGAATAACAAAGAAAATATTTAGTCAAATGGGATTTAAGAATTTTTTCTTTTTAGATTGGCACCTGAGCTAACAACTGTTGCCAGTCTTCTTTTTTTTTTTTCCTGCTTTTTCTCCCCAAATCTCCCCAGTGCATAGTTGTATATTTTAGTTGTGGGTCCTTCTAGTTGTGGCCTGTGGGATGGCACTTCAGCATGGCCTGATGAGCGATGCCATGTCCTCGCCCAGGATCTGAACCAGCGAAACACTGGGCCACCAAAGCAGAGCACACAAAGTTAACCACTCGGCCACAGGGCCGCCCCAGATTTAGGAATTTAATTTGTATTTCCTTTCACATCAAACCTCTTTCCTGGGGTTCTTATTTTTCAAGACAACAAATGGATCGAGTAGTTTTTTACCTTTTTTTTGCCCCATCCTCCATAATAGAGAGACCCATGCATAGCCAAATGGATGGAAGACAGGTTGCCAGCAAGGAGGTTATAAACAGCTGGATGAATCTATATGTTAGATTATTTAGCTCAACAGACGTTTATTGGAACATCTGCTTCACACAAGCTGTGGGAAAGGCACTGTGCTTTAGTTAGGCCCTTACAACCAACCTCTGAAAAATCGATGTTGGCCATATGGCATCTGAGCACATAAAGGAGCACCACGCCTCTTCCTGAGTTCCACTTGGCCTCAGTTCCTCCTCTCCCTTCACACCTAGAGGACTGAGATAGTAACTGCAGTGGAGAAGCCTTGTGGCCGTATTTCTTCTACAACAGAAGGGAAGGAGAGCCACGGGAGAACCGGAGCCTCTTCCCTGGCCCACATATACTAGGGTTCCTGCCTGGCTGTCAGGAATCTCCTCCCTCCCTGAATCCTCGAGAGTCTTTTTCTGTTCTTCCAGTCACTTAGTGCTTTTCCGCTTCAATTTACCTGTTTATGTGCATATCTAGACTATAAGTTCCCTAAGAGCAGGATCTCCATCTTGACCATCTTTGTACCCCTCTTATGTAACTACCACAGTGCCTTGAACATAGTAGGAATTCAGAAACTATTTATGTAGTAAAAACCAGAAGTATGTTGTTAAAAGAGGATAATGAGGTTTTTTTAAATATCTGAAGAAACATTGTCCACAGTGATTGGAAAAAAATATTATTTTGGGCTTATATAGTTTCTTCCGACTCAGAATGCCTTTGGGACAAGTTAAGAGAGTAGTATGATGTTTTCCCCCCCAGTTTTATTATTATGGAAGCACATGCCAAAGTTATAATGAGCTGATTTGGTCATTTAGAATAACCTGGGATGGTGCAAAGTAGAACCCAGGCCTCTCAACATCCTGACTGGTGCTCAGCCTCTTCCCTGCATTCATGTCCGCTCAGCCCATCAGTGTTTTTTCTGAAAAGCAACATTGGTCTTTCTGTTTAAGCCCTCTTTCTTAGTAATGTTTCTGTCTTGTTTCAGACCCATTTACCCAATATTAAAGTCCACGCCTACTTCGCACCTGTCACTCCACCCCCATCAGTAGGGGGCAGCAGACAGCGATTCTGCAGATGCTGCATCATCCTATGACAATGGAGGTGGTCAACCTTGGTGAACTGAGTATTTAATGACACTTCTAGAGTTACCGTGGAGTCTCCAGTGGAAGCGACCCCAGTGTTCTGGGCAAGGGTTACAAAGTGAGGGCAGTGTCTAGATCCCCAGAGCCACACATGCATACACATACCCACCCTCACTCCCACCCACTCTAGCTCTGTGACCAGGGGACTGAAGTTTGTGCTGGCTTTATCAAGTGGATTGGTAAAACTTAACCATTCCTGTTGGACGTGCCCAGAAGAAAACCATAGGCACGGTAGAGGGAAGGAGGTATTCCAGCAAACCCAGTGTTACTGCTGCTGCAGTTTCTTTGTTTTCTTAGGGGGTTTCTTTGGTGATTTTGGAATAGCAGCTGCAGTCCTCCGGAGTCAAGGAATGCATAAAAAAATATATATGTTGTAGCCAGGGACCAGGAAGAAAATTTCTTTGCATCCTATAAATGGTAGCCATCCACTGTGAGATGACTACAGAGCTTCTGTGCTTCCTTATTCCCATGCCAACATGCTGAGCATGCTCACAAAGAAGGCTTGTCCATTCCTCCTCTTGTGTTTTAGTGTTTGGCCCAGAAGTTTCCTAAATGGTTGCATTGAAATCACTGTGGGCCAAATGTGATTACTTATTCACGCAAATTGTCACTCTCTGTAGTACACTTGTGCACCTGTCTTTCATTCTCTGTTGCTCCCTCCTGCACTCTTGCTCAGTCTGTCACCTGTTGGTAGTCTGCTTACTCACACTCAATTGTTACTCGTTTGCTGCTGTTGTGTTTACAGTTTGCATTTTTGATGATTAGTTGGGGTTACCAAACATTTTTAAAAGAGACATTATCAATAAATATTTTTTTAATCCTAAAAATTTTGCCATTAGGGGACCCTGCCTGAATCTTTGCCAGTCTGAAGGGAAACTATAACAAAAGCAAGAAAAGTTATGAGAAGAAATTGAGCTAAAACTATTTTGATGAAAACAAATTGCCTTTTGGTTTCTGTTATGTCTTGTGATATTTGATAATACGCATGATATGCCCAGTATTGCCCCCCCGCACATTTTCCTTCCATCAAACGCCACTAACTTAATAAGGAGAGAGAAGTGCATTGTTAGTAAAGGGTAGAATGGCAGATCCCAAAACTGAGTCTGAAAGCCCTTACCACTCAAGCTCAGACATGTTGTGTGTTCACTGAAATCTATGTGTGATCAGCGGCACCTCTGATCTGTGTTTGTGAGGTTGTTTTGCATTAGCACAAGTGCTGCTAGAGGAGCTGTGCAGTCTAGCTAGTTGGTTGTGGTCCCCCCTCCCCTTCAGCCTATCATGGAAACAAGAATGACCTTATAACAGCTAGTCAGCTGTATGTTAGTGTTGATAGCATCATATCTAATGTTGGAGCCTCAAAGGACCAGAACCTTTTTAGAACCTGTAAACCATATTTCTTGTGCTCCAGACTTCCCCGTGAATGAAATACAAGGGTAACCAGGTGAAGGCATTGGGGCAGCAGAAAGACAACATTGAGAGGAAGTAGGGGATTCGGTGTCTCGGCCCAGCCTGGTCACCAGAGCTGAGGGCAGGGCATTCAGTGCTCATGACTCAAAGGATTGAAGAAGCAGCTTCCCTCTCCCCCTAAACAGTTATGGAGGATGAGGGAAATAAAATGAGTTTCTAAAGTACAAGAAGTAGATTTCTAAACCACAAGGTTAGAAACCTTGTGTGATTTTTCATAGGATGACTTTTTTTTGATCTTTTAGGATGTTATTGTGCAGTCCACCATGATCTTAGATCGTCCTCTGCATGATCCAGGCTGTTAAAAGGCTTGTTTTAATGCTGCAGGTGCTGGTTCTACCAGCATATGTAAGAATAAAGTGTGATTTATTTCTCCACAAGCAATCAGATGAAAGGGTCCTAGAAATCTGTACTTCCCACCATTATTTAGCATGTTAAATTTATCTTAAATTCTATTTTATTATTAGGCCCTTTCAAAAGCTCCAGTTACTTGTATTTTTTATTCCCCTTGCCCCTTATCCTCTTTGCCAATTAACCATATAAGGAATATACTTTTTAAAAGTGAAATTCACACTCCTGGCTATATCCTACATGTATGAACGTAGGCAGATGCACACGGACTTCCAGATATGGTTAATAATATTCAGATGCCCACATCACTCATTCAAACAAAACTAAAGAGAAATATTTAGGAGCCATCTGCTCTAATGTTTAAGTTATTTTTTATAGTGCCTGAACAAATTGACCGTAAAACCCTGATTGATTAGTGTGTGTAGATTTGAATTGCCCAATAGTTGAGGCTATTAAGGTGTTTCTTTACTTAAAAATATATATGTTTAAAAGTCCCTATTCACTAGTACATGAATGTCTCAGAAATGCTGTTCCTCTACCCAAAGAGTGTACCCACATGCAAGTCCACGTGGACTTGCCCAGGCAATGTCTGCCTCTGGGCCAAGAACAGAGTCAAGTGAGAAAATAAAGGCCCTAGAGTACGCAGCACTGGCTTGTGTGTGGTCAGGCAGGAGCCTTGTTCCTTTCTCAAGAAAACCGCAGGCCCATCAAGCTTGGAAGGAAATAAATTTTTATGCCAATCTGCAACCTATGCCAGGTGATGAAATGTACGAGGACTTTGAGAACGCAGAACATGGTAAGTTTTGGTCAGGTGAAAAGGGTCCTGATATCCGAACATAATGCTTCCTGTCTCAACATCAGGGACGTTTTTGAAAATGCAATAAGGCTTCACAGGTGTAAAAACTCTGCTTAGGAAAAGCTTAGGTCTATTTATCTGGCTCCAGAGCCCCTCCACAATACGCCTCCTGTAATGAAAAAATACGGTTAACAGAGAGAAGAGATTTGGGATAAGTGAGAAGATACCCTCAAAGCTATTGCCAAAAGCCTGCAGGTAGCCAGGAGGAATTATTGTCTTGTCTCTGGAGAAAGTTACTAAACATCCAGATCGTCTCTTTTCTAAGCAGCCTTTTCCCCTTAGATTTTCCAGCATCGTTTGTTTGCTACATCAGTATCTTTTATATCCTCTTCGTCAGACCCATCAAAGTGATTCCAGCTTTTTTTTTTTTTTTGCATTGACTTCTCCCACTTCCTTCCTGCACCCATCTATGCCCTCTCCTTAAAGCCTCCATCTCTCTCCCAATGATGCTGCTGATTTATTCTCAAATGTCTCTATGTAGCTTCCTCTTGGGGCCCTTGACCTGATCTAGGCAAACTATCCCAGACAGCCTTAAATTGAGTAACTGTCCTGTGGCTCAGGCCATTTTTCCCTGAGTGGTCATTGACGTTTCCTTACTGAATTTGAAGTCAAACTGTTAGATAGGAGGAGTGAGGGGATCTGGTGGCATCCTTTTTTCCAATATTTGGAACATGAAAGCACTTTGTGCTTTGTGTAAAAAATGTTCGCTTCTCCCATTCTCCTCTTTAGTGGATGTAAAAATATGTGTTAAATTGTTTTTTGTGAATTTCCACATCCATTAAGTTGATTTAGCAGATATGTAAGAAATTTTACATATTCCTTATATCACACATTAGGAGGGAAACCTGATAAATATTTTCATGATGCTTTATTTTGGGCTTTCCAAACTGTTTGCAGACTTTGATACAGCTATAACACTATAGCAGTCAGGTTCTTTTATTTCTTCTAATTGCCTTGTAAAATGCATTGTTACTGGTTTGATAGCCCACTAATGCCATCGAGGGCTAAACAAAGTACACGATGGAAACTCTCTTGGTTTGAAGTTGTTAGGAAATGTGAGAGTGTCCCTAGAAAGAAGAGGGTGGTTTTCTCCCTGCCTGTGGGCTGCATAACCTTAGGTGGTGTTTGGAGAGGAGGAATGCTTGCAAATCATGGTTGACCCTTGGCCATTTAATACTTACTGTACCAAAAGTCACAGACTGCTCATGACAGTTGTCACCAGTGAGAGAGGAGGAGTTTAAAGGAAATTGGTCTGTTCTGCCTTTTCCCTCCTTGTATGCATGATTTAAGGTTAGATTTCTGTCCCCATTGTGCATCCTGGATGACAAACTCTTTCAGTGGTATGCTTTGAGCTTCCGGAACATTTTATAAAAAGATTGCCTTCTCTGTCTGCCCACAGTTGTAGGATCTTTAACCACGTCAAGCCCAGGCAATGTGAATCAGCTGAGTCTTGTTTGAGACGAGGAGTAGGATGTTTAGTTGGAGGTCTTGAGGCAGAACCCTCCCCCTTATAATGATCTTGGTCCAGAGAACTCTAAAGCAGTAGGAGGGTGAGGGGAAATATGGAGTCTCAGCCTCTCCTCACCTTTATTTCTATCATAAATTTTAAGTGTAAGATTGGAAGATACAGAAAGCTTTTTAAGACCGTGTCAATAGGGTATAATTAACCCAGGTAATTTGGAAATAAAATTTGGCTGTATTTGCTGTATCCAGACGCCCTAACTTATCATCTTGTTCTCCAGCAAAGAACATGCTGCTCTAACCTTGTCCTCTTACTTGGGACAAACTTTCCACCTGCCAGAAACTACCATTTGAGGCAAGTGAGTTTTCTGCACGAAGGGCTTTTGCAGCTCCCGCTCCTCCCCCAAGGCAAGTCTACCTATTTTGTCCATTTTTATTCTTAGGAACATTAGTTCTGCGTCTCTGAAGCCTTTGATCCTTAGGAAAGTCAGTAAGAACCTCTCAGCTGAGTCTGAGTGAATCTTTGGAGCCCACGAAAGCTACACTTAATTTTCAGCAGAGAAGAATTTGTTGGACAAGCTCACATGTGGAATGTTAAGAGAAATTCCATAATGCACTTCTTCCATCTCTGCCTCGTGTGTTTTTTGAGTAAACCCTTCGTAGAATTTGGTTCACAGGTGTTGAGTCTCAGGCTTCCTCAGCCAGGGTGGTTTGTTTTAGGAAAAAGAACCATGAGCACCCAAAACTGTATCAATTGGCCCTTTCTATTTTCTGTGTTTTTCAGTGTCTTGTTTTAAAGAATTGAGGTGGGGAAATGGTAGATGAGATTCAAAATGAAGGAGAGAATCAGTTCTGGAACTGGGGTACTTTGCTTCAGGTACAAGCATCTGTGCTGAATTCTGTAGAAACACCTGCCTCACGGGTGGGTCGATTCACTTTCCTCTCCTTCTCATGAACTCCATGCCCTTTTTACTGGCAAGTAGGGCTTCTACTTTCCAGACACCTAACCAGAGTCATGAGGTGGAGATTGGCACAACCGAAAGAACCACCATTGCTTCCCAGCTGCTGCTGGGCCTGGTTTTCACTGAGGCCAGAGCAGGTAGGCAGTAAATGAGAATCCCCACCCCAAGAAGAGATGGGAGAAGAGAGGTGTCCAGACACATACCTTTTCTCTTCTGCCATACCCCAAGAACCCAGGGAAATCTTTGAAGTGATGTCTTTTTTTATTAAAGTCCAAGAAGGAAAGTTGGCCCCACTAAGTTTCGCTTGTCATTGCCTCTTACTACTTATTATTCAAATCTATACCACACTGCTGCTCACACATGTATGTGTTTCTTACCTTAGCCTAACCCTTCTCAGCCCCTCAAGTCATTATTCTCGTTTGTTTTTCTTTTTTTTATGGCACTAGTGAATGAGAACCTAAAGTCTTAGAAAATTGTAACTTGAAAAGGAGTCTCTAACTGGCATGGTTTGATTAATTACCTTTTACCCCCTGAAGACGTGAATGATTTTCTTTCCTAGTGCTATATAATAGATCTGTAATAAGTGAAACCTTTGCTGCTACTTTCCTGGGTTTACATTGGTTTTTTTCTTCCCTTAAGAATAATTTATCCGTGCTTCTCTGATGACTAATTTCTCATAAGTGCAGGAAGAGGTGAGCCTGAGATTTCTTCTCTTCCCTCCTCACTCTAGCCATAAATTACACGTTAACCTGTAACGTGTACAAGCTCCGTGCGGGGGCACTCATCAAAGCTCCATGTGTCTTTTTCTCACTGTGCTGCCGCTCTCAGAGCTGGCCGCTGAGGATCTGTCACTGCCCAGTCCGAAGGGGTACTGTACCGGGAGAAAGGCCTTCTTAATTTTGCCTGTCTCCATTCCTCTTGTGTGACTTAACCTTCACATGCCTCCCACTCTGGCCGCCTCCTTTTTACTCCTGGGAGTTGTTTCCAAGTAACCTGCCTCGCATTTCCCAACTGCTCTCCTCACCTTTGCCCACCTTCCAGTGCCCCTGAGGGCACAGACCTGAGAAAGTGGTCTGTGCAGAGCTCAAAGAACTGTGAGGACTACTCCTGCCTGTTAGACTCTGCCTGGGGACAGAGATGGATGGGTGAAGGGTGCTCTGAGAGAAATTTTTATCTTCAAACCAGGCTGTTTCATCCCTGCACCACACACACCACTCCCCTTAGAGGGTAAAATGCAGAGGATGGTTGACTGGCAGAGTCTGACCCCACACACTGCCGTCTGGCCTAAGCCTTCCCCAGCTACTCGGCTCACCCTGCGGTGCTTCAGTGTGGGAGCTGCTGCTTGCTTGTTTCTCCACCAGGCCTGCCCCGGTGCTTAGCCAGTCCCTGGGGCCAACACAGTTCCCTATATGGTGACTTAACACCAGGTTCCATTAGCTGTCCAGCTGACTGTGTTTCCACCCAACTCTTTTGGCGCTTGAGGATGGGGGGGAGGGAGGGTTATTTAAAAATAAATAAAATCCAAGGTGGCAGTAGAGGATTCCTTTTGCTTTAAAATCTTTGGACTAAAAAAGAAATGTTTTTTATATATAAATATATAAAGTAAATTGTTATGTAACTATTATTGTTTCCTGTATGTTCTAATTTTGTTTTATGATGTAATTAAAGGAAATAAGCTGTGAAGACTTTCCTTCTTGCCGCGGAAATAGCCTGACTTGGAGCTGTGATTCTTAACTTCTTTGACCCCTAAAACTACAAAGGCTCCTGAGGCTGAATGAAGGGGCTTCTTTTTGGCATCCTTATTTTTTTTAATAGCCTTTAATTAATAATTAATTTATTTAATAGCGTCTATTTAATACCTTTTTAATAGCTTATTTAATACTCCGAACTCCACTTGTCTATAAAAAAAAAAGGGAAAACAAATCAGTTTCTGAACACCTTTGTCTTAATTAACTTGATAGTGGCAGTTCAACCTGAGTCCCTTCTCTGTGCAAAGCATTGCCCTTCCCTGGACTAGGAGGGAGTGGGGATGGAGTGGCGTGACGTCGGATTGCCTGACTTCCACCTGCCCATATGACCTCGGCCAGTCAGCCTTTCCATCTCAGTTCTTCATGGGTGAAGTGGGGATAACAGTACCTACTTCAGAGTTGTGAAGATTAAAAGAGATGATAATGCACATGGTAAACACTCATGTTACCTGCTTTTATTCCCTTCCTTTCAACAAATATTTCAGTATGTAGTCTGTGCTAGAAGCTCCTAGATTGAGAGATACATAAAGGTTAATGGAACAGAGCCCCTATCCTTTTGGTGGAGATGAGCCGTGGAGTCAAATCACTGCCCTAAATTGAAATCTCAGGGTGTCTCCCCTGCCATGAGACATGCTGCAGAGCCCTGTGGAATGGTAGGTCCCACCTGAAATCCACTCATCCTGCATGAAATCAAGGCCTGGTCTGGACTGGTCATCTGGTGCCTACATGGTCCCAGTGCAACCAGCTGCCTGCTCAGTTGTCCTTACTGAGTCAGTAGTGGACGTGAGGGAGGCACGTTCTAGGTCTTTGAACTTCAAAGGATAAGCAAACTTGCCTTTCCCCCATCCACGGTTAACCAGTTCATCCAAGCGTTTAGAGCCTTCCTCCTTCCTACACCCCCTAGCCAGAGGCCACCTGGTTTTAAGACTCACTAAAGATGATCAGTAAATGATAACTGAGGTAAATAATCAATAGGAATTAAGCAGATTTTTTTTTTTTTTTTTTTTTTTTTTGCTGAGGACGATTTGCCTGAGCTAACATCAGTTGCCAGTCTTCCTCTTTTTTTTTTAAATGTGAGCCACTGCCACAGCATGGCTACTAACAGAAGAGTGGTGTAGGTCTGTGCCCAGGAACAGAACCCAGGCCACTGAAGGGGAACACACCGAACTTAACCAGTAGGCCAGTGGGGCTGGTCGTAGCAGATTTTCTTTTTTTTTTTTTTGAGGAAGGTTAGCCCTGCGCTGACATCCACCACCAGTCCTTTTTTTGCTGAGGAAGAGTAGGTTTGAGCTAACATCTGTGCCCATCTTCCTCTACTTTATATTTGGGACGCCTGCCACAGTGTGGCTTGATAAGCAGTGTATAGGTCTGTGCCCAGCAAACCCCTGGCTGCTGAAGCAGAGCATGCAAACGTAACTGCTATGCCACCTGGCTGGCCCCCCTAGCAGGTAATTTTTAAGAGGGCATCTTGGCCTGTCCACTCCTTGCATGTGGGTTTTCCCTTTTCAATATGTTTGAAATTTTTCACAAAATTTTGAGGGAAGGGGATGAAAAAAATAAAGACCAGAAGAAGATACGACCCAGTATCACTTACCTTTTTTTTTTTAGATTGGCACCTGCACTAACATCTGTTGCCAATCTTTTTTTTTTCTTCTTCCCAAAGCCCCCAGGTACATAGTTGTATATTCTGGTTGTGAGTTTGTGGGATGCTGCCCCAACATGACGTGATGAGTGGTCCCATGTCCGCACCCAGGATCCGAACCAGCGAAACCCTGGGCTGCCGAAGCCAAGCGTACAAACTTAATCACTCTGCCACGGGGCCGGCCCCTCTCTTACCTTTTTTAAAAGCGCTTGATTTAATATAAAATTGGTTTTCTAAATAGGAACACAAATCAGTTTCAGGTGGATTACAGACTTAAATGCAAAATTAAAATTTAAACTTTGAGGGGCTGGCCCCGTGGCCGAGTGGTTGGGTTCGCGCGCTCCGCTGCAGGCGGCCCAGTGTTTCGTTGGTTCGAATCCTGGGCGCGGACATGGCGCTGCTCATCAGACCACGCTGAGGCAGCGTCCCACATGCCACAACTAGAAGGACCCACAACGAAATATACAACTATGTACCGGGGGGCTTTGGGGAGAAAAAGGAGAAAAATAAAATCTTTAAAAAAAAAAAATTTAAACTTTGAAAAGTATGCATAGGAAGTTATATTTATGACCTTAATATAGGGAATGATTTCTTAAGACCTAAAAATTAAAAGATTAATAAATTCAACTATGTTTTTTAAATAAAGCCCCATGGCCTCAGTCTTCAAGAATAATTATAGTATTTCCCAAGTCTCTAGAGCAGAAGTTTTAAAATAAGCACAGTGATTTGATAGTTGAATGGTCTTTTGAAGGCTTTAGTGATTAGTTCTTGTGCTAACTGAAAAAAGATCAGCCTAATTTATTTATTCCTCTGTCCCAGACTCTGTCCCTCGCCCCAGTTTATAGTTTAAGCAGAAGCAAGAGGACTATAACACCAAGAAAGTTGAACAACACATTAAAAATATGTATCTTTTAAAATTAACTTTTAATTTACAAAAGGAAGGGATAAATAAAATTTTAAATAAACACGAATTAATGCACTCAGTGTTGAGCAGCACTGTTTGGGGCAGAAGCTCCTTATCCATATTGCCAGGCTTTTTGCCTCACTTGGCCAGCTCAGCTCAGCTTGGGAGGCTGTGTCCTGGGTTCCAACAGCTGTTGCTGCTGAGCAGAAAGAAATATGAGCCTGGGGCTGCTTGCCTCCTCCCCAGGGGTAGGACACATGATGGTTTGGCTCTTCACCTGGAGCCCGCTGAAGCAGCTGAGGATTTTAACAAGGCTTCTGGTCAAAACAGAGCTCCAGAGAACCAGGCTGGCATCCGTCGCCTCCTCTTGCAGCAGGGTGCCCCTGGGCCTAGGTCAGAACCAGGTAGTAGCCATCTGGATTCTGCACTGAAAGCAGTAAAAAGGGCACCATTGAAGTGAGGCAGGCTCCCAACCACTGCTAGTCTACCGCTCCCAAACCTCCAAGCCACCTGCAGTGCATCTGCCACACCCACGTGTTCTTCCACCCTCACCTGGAATCCACCTCTTTAGGAAGCCTCCCTGTGGCCTGTAGCACAGCAGGCATCTGAATAACCAGAACCACAAGTCAGGTGCTCTGCGCCAGAGAATGTCCAGCAAGCACCTACCCTTCTGCCTTGTATGGTTTGGAGCGGGTGGGCAGGGGGCCTTACCTTCCTCTCTAATAACCTGCCTGACGTAGAAACAGGCATTTTTTTTCTCTCATGAGAATGCATCTACTCGGTCACATTTTTCCTGAACAATAAATAGCTATCTTTTAGCTGTCTAAATCTCTGTCCCTTTAACACAAAGCTGACCTTCAGCAAATGTTTACCATTTGATTGGGACACTGCTCGCTGCTTCCCCCCCCACACACACATACACGCGTGCACCTTCAAGGAACCTTTTAATTTCATTAAGGAGACAATATAAATACAACCTTACCCTTTCTAGGGCCTGCCAGATACACTCCTCTCCCTCTAAAACCCCTACCTTTCTTCACTACAGCCACGAAGTATGATTCATCCTTAAGATTCTGAACCACCTGCAAGGGAGAAGGGGTCACTAAGACAATTCTGTTCTTAGAGCCAAACAGAATAAGCTGGGGCAGGGAGAGGGAAACTGGGCATGAGGTAGAAGAGTGATCGAGGCCTTTGTGGGGTCTTGTAGGGAACCGCTGCCCATTTACCTGGTCATTGAGGAGAATGAGGATGCCCCCAGGGCCCTGGTGGAAGAGGTGGTGGATCTGATTGGCTGGGAGAGCCAAGAGCTCTGCCAGTTTCCCCATCAGCTCCACAGCACTAAGTTCATTCAGAGAGATCTCTTGATAAAAGCCTGGGGATGTGGGCAGCACAGAGGCAGGGTCAGTGGGGGAGAGGGCCCAGAGGGAGCCCCAGATACCAGGAGGAAGGAGGGGGCAAGGTGACAGCCTCATGGCGGGGGTGGGAGGGAGTAAAGAAGGAAAACGCTTGTACATCCACTTAGTCCCCATCCCTATTCCTCACCTTTGGGAAGACCTCAGATTGAGGGGAGCCCCAGTTCAAAGAGGAGATGGGACATCTACATATGAATGACTGAAACCCAGATACAATAACAAAATTGTAATGTTCTAATCCCACAGACTCATGGAATGACAAAATCAGATGGGTCTAGGGAATAGAACATGGTGGAATCAACCCAGGGAAACACCCTGGAAGGAGAGAACTAATCTGATCATGGAAGACAGGAATGCCAAGGAAGACATCCTAGGTGCCAGGAACCATGGAGCATCACCCTCTCCCCAGGCCAGAAGAGGTTTGATGCAGCCACACCTGAATTTCTTGTCTGCTGGAGAGAGAGGCTCGAGCCTTACCTGAGTCGGGGTTCTCAGCAACCTCATTCTCTTGCCTAGAAGCCTCTTGAGCCACATATAAAGTCAGCCGATGACGGATGGGCCTGGGCCAGGAAAACCGTCTACGTATCAGCCCTTCATACCTGAACTAACAACTCCCACTTCTAACCGCCATCCCTGGGAGAGACCCTGCCTCCTCCCGAGTGTCTAGGGGGAGAGGTCACCAAGCATTCCTTCAGCATTTAATGAAAGCTGAACCCTGGGGGGAGAGAAGATGAGAAAAATCCATCTCTGTCCCCAGAAATTGATGCAAATGGGATACCTACACGAAGAGGGCACAGGAGCCTAACATTTTAGCCCAGCCCTGCCATCCTTGCTCTATGACCCCAGGCAGGTCACTCTCCTTGGGCCTTAGTTTCTTCCTCTGTAAAAAGAGGGAATGGAACTAAGTGGTCTTTAAGATGCCTTCCAGCTTGAACGTTGTATGAAACAGTACCACTAGCTGAGTTGGTAGGTGCCACTGAAATGGGGAGGGGACCCTAATTGGCAGTGCCCAGCACCTGGCTCTAAGAGTATTGAAAAGGCGGATCCCGTCGGCAGCCCCGCAGATCTGGATAAGGTCCTGGCGGGTAAGCTTCAGCAGATCCGTGCCTGCAGGGTCAGACAGGGCCAGATTGGGGGAAGAGACCTGGGATCAAGCAAGGGTGGCAAGGGACACTGTCCAACATTAGTCTATGAATGGCCTTAGTATGTCCAGACATGGGAGTCACACTTGGATTCAAATCCCAGCTCTGCCACTTGCTAGCTTTGTGTCCCTGGACAAGTTATTTAACTTTTCTGAGCCCTGTCCACAAGGGGTAGTGTATAAATTGCATGGGATAATACATGAGAAGAGAGTCAAGCAAGCCAGGACAGAGACAGGCTTCCTGCCTGACTGTCTGGCCCTCAGTCCCCTATTGGTTTGGTCCCTGCCAGACCCGAGCCTCACCAGTGAAATTGGCCAGCATCCGGCAGTAGGCTGAGAACCGGTGCCGATGCAACCACTGCTGCGTCTCTAGGATGGAGGCTCCAGGGTTCAGATCCTGAGGCATAAAAAGGACGGTCCAGATAACACCATAGACCCACGGACTGAAAACAAGGGGGAGGAGAAACAGCCCCTGCCGTTGGGGACCAGGTCTGAGAGGAGAGGTTCATCCTGCCACGGGAAGTGTCCATTCCTATCAGGGAACAGTTTTGCGATTTGTGGCCATACCACGTCTGTCCACCAGGGAGCAGGACCACCCTTTTCTGGAGAGCGAGATGAAGCCGCTGAGAAGGCTTTCGGATAGTGGGGTCGAGAGGGTTGGAAAGGGAAGACTCACTTCAGCTGGGCTGCCCGCCAAGCTGTCCAAGGCGAATGGTGGTGAGGAGCAGAGCCTGTGGGGGAGCAGAGAGTCATGGGCTCGGCGGAGGAGGGCAGCCAGTCTCCCGCCCGCCACCGTTCCCCAGGCCTGCCCTGGGATGCAGAGCCTGTTGGTGCATCTCACGTCTTCCCCAGAAGGCACAGGGCTGAGCCTCTTCCCCGCCTCAGCCACACCCGCAACCCTGCCCTTTCCCCGATGCCTGGGCCGAGGAGCTCTTCCCCTCACTCTCACCCCAAGGGCTGATAGGAGGTGCTCATCCCGCCTCACCTCTCAGGCGACAGGAGCTTGCAGGAGTAGGGGGAGGTCAGAGCGCGAGGGCTGAGAGGTGAGTGGGGCCCTGCACTGGGCTCTGGCCACGGTGGACACTGTGGGCAAACATACAGCAAGGTCGGCCTGGACGGCCTGAGGGCCATGGTGTCTGTGGGCTCACCTCCCTCCATCTGTCTATTAAGAGCTGACAAGAGACCTGCCTTGGGCCAGACTAGGTCCCTGCCCTAAAAGGAGACCCTGACGAGTAGACCAAGTTTCCACACAAAGGAAGAGAGTAAGCTAGCCTATAGATCTGTCTGGGGGAGTTGGGGAAGGCTTCCCGGAGGAGCTAGCCAGAAGCAGCAGCAGGATGGGGGTGCTCCAGGCAGAGGGAGCAGAAGTGAGGTGGTGGCGACGGCAGGGCACAGGGGAGGCAGCCTGGAAGGCGTCAGCTCCCGGAAGTCTTGAACAACACAGTGCAGTTTGTCCTTGCAGAAAACGGGTGGAATCACGGTGGGGCTTGATGATCCTGGAGCAGGCGCAGCCCTTGAGGCCTCAGTTTCCCCACACGCACGGTGAGGCTCTTTTCTCCGAACTTCCCCTCCTGCCCCCAGCGCCGCAACACACACACCTCCACGAAGACGGTGCTCTCACGGGCGACCTGATACTTGTCTCTCTCATGCAGAGGCTGTTTCTCAATCTTCTCCCGGTCAGTTTTCAGTTTCCGGTCAGCTCCTTTGGGCTACAGGAGGGTGACAAGGAAACCCAGAGGCCCCTTCTTTATCGGCCCACTTCTCATTACAAAAGGGGATCTAAGAAGGGAGCAAGTCCCAGCCCTCCGTGTGCAGAGAAGGAAACAGTCCCGGAGACTGGGACCGCAGGCTGAGCGTCCACAGCAAAGCAGGGCCAGAATCCACACAGCCAGAGAGGCAAGGTGACAGCCCTAAGAGGGAGGGGAAGGGGCCCCGGTGCTGCCGGTACCTTGAACACCTTGATGAGGCAGCCAGCCGAATGCAGGTGCTCGGGCGCAAGCTCTTTGTCACTGGGCTTGAAGGTGTCGATGCGGAGGCGGAAGGAGACTCCTTTCTCGCCGCCCTTTTTCCGCGGAGTGAACTCAGTACTGATACAGTGAACCTGAGGAGAAGAAGCCACGGGAAAGCGGGGTAACTCCAGGTCTCACCCACCTTCACGAGATTCCACCTCAAACCTCTTATCTGCCTGTCACCTGTCAGCCACTTACCACACCAACTTTCCATCCCCAACCAGTGTCTGTTTTTAAGCCTCACTTTTTAGGTTCTTTCCCTCGTTAGAAGTCCTTCAGTGGCTTCCCATGGTTAGGGGATGAGAAGCAAAGCTCCTGACCCTGGCGTTGGAACACCTTCCAGAGTCAAGCTGAGCCTTTCTGCAAGGCTGCTCTCTCCCAGCCATCAGTGAGCCCAAGGACCTAGCCAGCCACATCCTGACATCCTGACCCGCAACGCGCCTGCAGAGCTCTCCCGAGAATCCTTTCCCTGGAAAGCTCGTCCTGCTCACCTCTGCGCCTTCCAGGGTAGGGCTGTCAGTGGAAATGCGGCATGCTCGGTTAAATTTGAACTTCAGATAAACAACAAATAATTTTTTAGTGCAAGTATGTCCCAAGTATTGCATGGGACATACTTATAGTAAACTTATTTATTTATTTATTTATTTATATAAAATTTAAATTTAACTGACTGTCCTGTATTTTATTTGCTAACTGTGGCAGTCCACTCCAGGAAACCTTGCTGGCCCACACCTCACACCGCGGGCAGCCTCTGTGTTCTGCCTGGTCCCGGGATTCCAAGGGCAAGGAGGGTCTCCCCGTCTGTTTACACCTGCTGCCCCCACTACAGCCTCCCACAATCCTGTGAAGACAGTTTGAGAGTCTGACTTGACAGGTGGGGAAACTAAGGCTCAGAGAGATTACGGGGCCTTGACAAGGTTCATGCTAGGAAGGGGTGGAACTGAAATTGTGCCACATCTGCCTGACACCTAGTCCAGGTGCTTAGACCATGGCGGGCACGCAAAAAAGGAACTTTCATGTGACTTTTGACAGTATTGTTTGATTATAAAGAGAAATCTATTCAACATAGGAAAAGTGGAGAACACCAAAAAAGTATAAAGAAGGATATAGACCTCTCCCATCCTTCCCCTTCTCCACGATAGCCCTGTCAACAGTGCAGTACTGTCTCTGCCCATCTTTTCCCTGGGCAAGAAAACAGAGAAAAAAAAGACGTGTATACACACACTTTTTATACATATAAAATAGAAATCAAACTTTAAATACAAGTTTGTATTCTGCTTTTTCTTTATTTATAGGAAAGCAGTTTCTCTTGTCAGGAAATATTTCTCAGAGACATCATTTTAATGGGTACACAATTTCCACTGTAAGCCTCTACTAAAACTTATTTTAAAGTCAATCCTCTTCCCATGGGCATTTTGATTGTTTAAAATCTTTCAATATGAAAAAGAATGCTGCCATGAATAGCAGGTAAATAGATCTTTGTGTACTTATTGAATGCTGCTATAGGATAAATTTCTTGAAGTGGAACTGCTGGGTAAAAGAGTATGAACATTAAATTTAATAAATTTTGCCCAGGTGCCACTCTGCCTACAGAATGGGTGCACCAATTTGCATTCTCAAGATATGAGGACGTCTGTTTTTCCAAATCTTACCAATAATAGTTTTTTAAAGTCTTTGGTAGTTATATATATGTAATTTTAATTAGCATTTTCTTTCTTTTTTTTTTTTTTTTGAGGAAGATCAGCCCTGAGCTAACATCTGCTGCCAATCCTCCCCTTTTTGCTAAGGAAGACTGGCCTTGAGCTAACATCTGTGCCCATCTTCCTCTACTTTATATGTGGGACGCTTGCCACAGTATGGCTTGATGAGCAGTGCCATGTCCACACCCAGGATCCAAACCGGCGAACCCCGGGCCGCCTAAGTGAAATGTGCACACTTAACTGCTGCACAACCAGGCCAGCCCCTTAATTAGCATTTTATAAGGCAGAACTGCCTACATTTATTGATAATTTGTATCCTTCTTTATAAATCGCCTCATATATCCTTTTCCCACTTTTCTATTGAGGTTTCATGTATTTTTTCTTATTGATATAAAAACTTTCTATATATTTAGGATATAACACATTATATGTCATGTGGCAATTATTTTTCCCATTTGATATCTCCTTTTAATTTTGCCTACGTATCTCAGACCACTAATTTTTGTTTTGTTTTGTTTTTTGCTGAGGAAGATTAGCCCTGAGCTAACATCTGTTACCAATCTTCCTCTTTTTTTACCTTGAGGAAGATTAGCCCTGAGCCAATCTCCCTCCACTTTATATGTGAGTTGCCACCACAGCATGGCTGACAAGTGGTGTAGGATCGCACCCGGGATCCGAACCCACAAATCCAGGTTTGCCAAAGCAGAGCACACCAAACTTAATTATTATGCCACACGCCTGGCCCAGACCATTACTTTTCATGAAACTAAGTTCTGTCCTGTGTTTGGCAGTTTCTTCCATTGCTTGATGTTTCACAAGTCCTTCTCTGTGGTGAGATTCGATCAATGTTTATCCATATTTTTCCTCAAGGTGCTTTGTGGTAGTGATTCATTCTTGTTGTCCCCTCACCCCTACCCACACTCACCTTCCTTTCCCACCTAGGCTGCTGCCACTCCCATCTGACCTCCAGCCTCCTCCCCGTCCCAGCTTCAGACTTACCTGTAGGAAGATGGAGGTCCTCTTGGTCGGGTCCCAATGAAACTCCACCGTGTTGAGTTGTGAGGGCAGGACTTGGGGTTCTATCACCCCCACGGACAGGGGCACATCTGCAGGCACAGGGTGGCAGGCAGGGAACAAAGCTCAGCTCTCCCCACCCACAAGGGCTTCCCAGCCAGAATGCGGCCCTAAAGGGACCCTGCTCCCTCCCCACTCACCAATGTCCAGGATGCGGTCCCCAGGCCGGCTCCACCTCCACCCATCCAGCTGTTGCTGCTCCGTGTACTGTAGGCGCCGGTCATGGAACACCACACGCGCCACGCTCTGCAGGGACAGGAGGGCACAGCTCACAGGTCAGAGGGTGCCCGGGCATTTGGGAACCAAATCCCACACCTGGGGTAAGCCAGCCATCCCACCCTCTCCCCCAGCTTGCTTCCCACCCCCAGGGGCATAAGGACTTAAAACCACTAGATCCTGTCCAGATGCCCACCTGCCACTCACCGGCTGTGAAACTGGGGAAGTAACCTAGAGACCCTGAGCCTCAGTTTCCCCATCTGTAAAATGGGGGAGTCAATCCCTTCCCACTCTTAGTCACCCTACCCATGTCTTTTCTTTGCAGCACTTATCAATTTGTAATTTCATGTAATCTGTGTAATTGCATGTTGTCCCACTCAGTAGAATGCAAGCCCGCTGAGGGAGGGAACTACCTGTTTCTTTCTGCTGAATCTCCAGCCCATAGAACAGTTCTGGCAAAGAATGGGAGCTAAATAAATCATTTTTTTGAGAGAAGGAATCATGCGTGTGAATAACGCTATGTAAACGTATTTCTAAGTCCCAGTTCTGCTACTTACTGGCTCTGTGTCCTTGAGAAAATGCTTAACCTCTCTGCACCTGTTTCCTCAACAATTCCTGCCCATCACTGAGCTGTTGTGAAGGTCAAATTAAAAGTGGACTTGAGAGAATTCCACTTGACAAGTGGACATCACGATGGTGACATTGGCTTCCTGCCCAGAGGGACAGTCATGCCCAGCCTTTGCCAGTTCTGGGGCCAGGGGGGCGGATGCACCTACCTTCAGCAGCCGGGGGCACTGGGTGGCATCACCCAGCTTGGGGTTCCAGAGCATCTGCACCTCATAGGACTGGCCTGGGAGAGATTAAAAGGCTGTGTGAGCCCCACTCTGAGGGGCAGAGGCAGTGCTTGCCACTCCCAGACCACCCTGGGCCCGGCCTTCCAAGCCCCTTTCCTTCCCCAAGCCCAGCGAACCCTGGTTCAGGTAGGTGAGGGTCTCCTCTCCTTGCTTCACTGCCGGCGAGGTGGCTGCACAGAGCACATACTGGAACGCGGGGCAGGGAGGCTCCGGGCCGGGGACGTTGGGCAGCTCTTCCTGCTTCAGGTAGGGCAAGGGCAGGGACTCCCTGCCAGGGAGAGAAGGGCACCGCCTGCTTTCTGCCCCCGTCCACCCCACCCCCAGGGGGCTTGGACTCTCTCTGCCAGCTCCTCCCTCCAGGGAGCCTGCATTTCCTGTAGCAGGCACCCCAGCAGCAGCCAGGGCCTAAGGGGCCCCCAGTCAGCTCCTCTGGCCTCTGGGAGAACTCCCTTAAGAGGCAAATCCTAGATATTGCTAAACATCTGCAAACATCTGCCATCAATTACTTGTTTGCAACGTCAGGACTTGCATGATGCCCAGTAAGTGCCCCAAAAGAGTGTCCTGAGTGGGTGGGCGGTCAGGGTGTTTGAGACCTCCCAGGACCCACTAAACTCCAGGTACATTCAACCACTTCCCCACCCAAAAAGGAACCTGAGAGCAGGAAGCCCATCTCCCTTGGCTTGAAACAGACAGCCCTATCATGTTGACCTCAGTTCAGACCAGGGTCTTTGGTGGGGCTGGGGAAAGAGATCTGGCCCTTACCTGAGCAGGCTGCTTGGAGGTCCGGGGTACAGTTCCCCAGGACTGGGCCACAGGTGCTCCGGTTGGTTGTGCCAAAACAACATCTTAGAAAGGGAGCAGGGCCAGCTGTGTGACAGAGAGCTCTGCACTGGGTTGGGCTGGACCCACTGGGCCGCCCGCCCGCAGCCTCAGCCTTTATACACAGAAGCACACGCACGACAGGGTGGAGCAAGGCCTGGGGCCTCCTATTGGCTGAGCACCCAGGGCTCTAGGAAAGTCGGGAACCATTAGGCAGCCCAAGCTGGCAGGACTCAAGAAATGATGTCCCCAGGGCTCCCCACCAATCATTAACTTGAGGGGGAGATGGTGGTGCTGCAAAACAAAGTCACAAGGGTGAATATACACTCCCCCACCTTCCCCAAGAGGCCCAGGGACAATGAGAGGGCACCGTCAGGCTTCAAGATGGGCTCCAGACCCATAAGCCATGCAGAGCCCTGGAGACCCACAGCCCTGGACCCCTCACACGACCCTGTAAGAGGAGCCTGTCTACTCCAGGGGACAGGACAAGCAGACACACAGCATCACATGGGCCTACAAAGGGCCTTTGCTCCCCACTGGCCTCCCTGCTCTCTCCTATTACACACACACACGCACACACACACAGGTGCAGTGACGGCAGGACACCTGTCCTTTCACTGGGGGCTGCCAGGCTAGGAGACTAGAGTTTACAGAACATAGTCCAGCTTGCTGTGGAAACAACTCAGGGGGCAGCACTGGGAGGGAGACCCCACCTGTGGGGAGGAGGGGAGCATGCCTGGGAGCGCCCCCTCCTAGGGCAGTAGAAGGAGAGGAGCTCCAGTAGGGCTGGTTTCTTTGTCTCTCCTCTCCCTGGGACATGAGGCGGCCTGTGTTTATGGACAAATACAGTCTGTCTGGGGGACAGCTTCCTTCCCCATGCTCAGAACACTGTTGTCACTGTACACAGGCAGCCCCGGGCCCCTGCGCCCACCGCCCACTACTGTGTTTAGTATAAACAGACCAGGAGCTTGCAGAGAGCAGAGGCAGGGCTATAGAAACATGGCTTGACTTCATGTGACCCTCGCTATCCCGGCTGTGTGATTCTGGGGGGCCTGCCTGGGAGAAAGGGAAAGCCAAAGAGTGCCCCTCACACACCGGGCAGGGTACCTCCATCTCCAGGTATCTGGGCCTTGTCCTGTACGCGCTTTCTCTTTCCATGAAGCCAGACAAAGTGCAAGGGGGGAGGACAGGGAGGAGCCCGGAGGGAATGGGAAACACTCCAGCCAGGGACACCGAAGGAGTCTGAGTCCCCAAGAGCACTGTGATAAGTTACCCCAAGACTGAAGGGACCCATCTGTTGCCCGAAGTTGGATTCAAGGCCAGGAGGCCCCCAAGGAACCCTGCAAGGTGGTACAGAGCGGGGAGAGTAGAAGGGGTGCAGGTGGGGCTTGGGCCTGGCCGGGGGTGGGGGGTGGCAGGTGTGGGAGTGTCAGTGGGGCAGAGGACATGAGGTAGAAAAAGAGACGAGGACGCCACAAGGAGCTGGTCCTAGAGTGCGACTCCAGCTCCCGGACCCCCACCCGCTCGCCCTCCACCCCCTAAGCTGTCTGTAACCTCCCCTTCCCGCCCTCAGTCCACCTCTCTGCTTCTCTCGCTGCTCCTCCCTCCTTCCACCCGTCTCAGAGTCTCTGTGCTTCTGTCCCTGTCCAGACATTGCTGGGCCTGTTCCTGGTTGTCCTTGGCCCCCAGTGTAAGGAAAAAAGCCAGGGCTTGAAGTGGATGGAGCCGGCACTCACAGCCCCCTACTCCACTCTTTCGCTCTGCCCCCTGGGCCAGGCACAGCACAGGGTCTGACCAGAGGCCTTAGGAATCTTCTGGTCCAGCCTTTCACTCTCAGAGGAGTCTCAGGCCCTGGGGGGTATGATGCCCCCATGAGGCAGGGTGACTGCCCAGACTCCATCTCTTCACCTTTCTGAACCCACTTTCCTCATCTGTAAAATGGGAGCAAGGCCTCCCTCCCACTTAGTGTGGCAGTGAGGATTAAAGGAAATTCTGTGCAGTTGCTTCTTATTCCAGGGTTTCATTCTCAGGAGCTCCCCTTCAGGGGAGCAGGGACACCACTAAGGACTCCAGTGTCCCCACCAGAGCCCCGTCCTAGCTGTACAGACCTGACTGTCCCGGAAGCTTCCCCACACACAGATAATTTCAGCGATAATTTCTTGAATTACCAGTTTTTTAAATGGATTTTTCCCATCCCAAATGCTTTGTCATTTTCTAGGCCATGGCTTAACCCAATCCTAATAATATCCTTTGGGATTCCCTAAGCCAAGGAAGTAACTTTTTATCTGTAAAAATTGCTGAGAAATAACGATTCAGTGTCCTTCTCCTCTAACCAAAATGTTTTGTTTTATTTCATTTTCTATCCCGAGGCAACATTCCAATCTGGAGGGTTGGAGAGTGAGGTTTACCCCTCCCTCACAGAAAGAGGGGCTGAGAGGAGAAGAGTTTCTCATTCATTCATTCAACAAACCATTATTGAGCACCTACTGTGCACCAGGCTCACGCTCTCTCTCTTCCTCACACTAGTGTGTGGGACCTGGGGCAGGGGACCTGGGTGGATGGAATCCTGCCCCACCCAGGGCTCGGGCACCTGCTGTTACCCTCACATGGGTGGTCAAAAGAGCTGGGCCCCGAGTTCCAGGCAAAATAATTTTAAACAGGAACATATGAGAACACACACATGAGGCTGACAATACTATGTGTCAATCTGTGTGTGGTCAGTGTGTCTGTGTACACAAATGCCACCACCCCAGGAGGGTGGTCTTTCCTCCCAGCAAAATGTCTGTAGGGCAGAGACAGCTCCACAGGTCACCGCATGAAACAGCGCCCCCTGGAGTTAGCATGTGGCCCTGGCTCCAAGCCCCAATCCTTCATCCCTGAGAGTCCCTCACAACCGCCAGGAAGTCTCACCTCGGAAAGGCGCTCTCTGTTCACACATCAGAGGACACTGCCCGCTTCTTAACCCTTCCTGCAGCCCAGTCGGTTGGCGCTGATGTTCTCTATGTCCTGGCTCTGCCCTTCACCAAATTCTGCCCTAGCAGTCAACTGGTTGTGCAGTCCATTCTTTGTGTACTTTGTTTAATGTCTGCTTTCCCTTCAGAGTGGAAACCCCCTGAGGGGCTAAGAGAGGTGTGCTGGTGTTGGGGTTAAGAGTATGTTTCTTGAGACGGACTCTGAGTTGAAGCATAGCTGTTTCACTTCAGGCAAGTAACTTAACCTTTCTGAGCCTCATGCTGCTACTGTAAAAAGAGGATGATGAGAGCCTCCACTCCATAGGGCTAGAGTGAAAACTGAATAAGATAACAACTGAGCCCTCAGGGAACGCAGGTGTCTTTTTCTCCATGTGTCCCCAAGTGCCTAGTACATCATAGGTTTACTTATTTAACAATTAAAAGTAGAGGTTTATTGGGGCCAGTCCACTGGCATAGTGGTTAAGTTCACACACTCTGCTTTGGTCGTCTGGGGTTCGTGGGTTCAGATCCCGGGGGCAGACCTACACACCGCTCATCAAGCCATGCTGTGGTGGCGTCCTACATACAGTACAGAGGAGGACTGGCAAGATCTTAGCTCAAGGACAATCCTCCTCAAGCAAAAAGCAGAAGACTGGCGATGGGTGTTAGTTTAGGGCCAATCTTCCTCACACACAAAAAGTATAGGTTTATTTACATAACACTTACAAATGTAGAGGGTCTGATTATTTCATAAACAGTATGCTCAGTATGACTTCAGAGTGCTTTTCAAACAGTCTGCCTTGTGAGGTACATGCCATTTGTTTCTACTATTCTCTTATTGCCTCCCATTCTACAGATGGGGAAACTGAGGCTCAGAGAGGTTAAGTAGCTAGATCAAGGTCACAGAGCTAGGAGGAGAAAGAGCCAAGGTCTGAACTCAAGCCATCTGGGTCACAGTCCTTGCTCTTAATCACTGTACTATGCCCTACTCTGCCAGATAAACATGTGTGGAATTTTAAAACGAATCTCTAGGCAACATTCCAACCTGGACAGCTGGAGAATGAGGTCTACCCCTCCCCCCAAAAAAGAGGGGCTGATGGGGGACACGTTCCTCATTCATGCATTCATTCATTCAACAACTCCCAAAGAAGTATCAGACCCAGGAACCTGGATTCCTATGATCATACAGTGACCTCAGGCCTTTCTGAGATCCAGCCTCTCCAGCTGCAAAATGGGGACAAAATATTTTCTGTTCCATTCCTGGGCTGTGAGCCCTGAAGATGAGTAATACGAATGATAGAGGCTGGGCTGCTGTGGTTTTGATAGATGAGGGGGTGCCAGTGATGGGGCAGGACGGGCTGGAAACAGGATTTGTGGCCTCATGAAGTGTGGCTATGATAGGGGTCCTGCTTGACTGGGGAATTCCCTTGTGGAGGCTGCAGGAGGGAGGGCAAAGTATTGCAGGCAAGGGACGCAGCTTGCCCTGAGGATTTAGGGTTGTACAACCACCCCAGGAGGTAGGATAGTCCCCAGTTACAGACTAGGAAACAGATAGGTAACTTGCTCGAGGTTACTAGATCGTAAGGAGTAGGCTGGCACCTGAGTACCTCACTGCCCTGCACGCCTGCTGTCCACCCAGTCAGCCTGGCCAAGACACAGGACTCCTTCCTGTCCATCCCCGCAGCAAAGCCTTTGGCCAGAAGGAACCTAAGAGCCCACTACCCTGGCCCTCTGTTTCCAGTTTGCTGCCCTTGGGAGCCAGAGGAGTCTCTCTAAGACACAGGAAGGACCATTCCCCTGTGGAGACCCCCCATGGCCTCCTTTCGTTCTCAGCACCATTCTCAAGCTGGGCTGTGGAAACCCCTGGGTAACCGTGGCCTGTCTTCTAGGCATCAGTGGCACACAGAGGTTAGTGGTTAAAATCATTTTTTGGTAGGAAAACCAACATGGATATTCATGGAGTCGAATGCAAGGCTTGCACCGACATTTTATGTAGAGCCATGTCTTCAAATTCCTTTCAGAGTCTGGGTGCACCACTTTGCCTCTCCCCCTACCCCCATCCCTCCAAGGCGCCACCGGCTTGCTCAGCAGGGCTCCTGTAAGTGAGACGGAGCAGCTCCTTTGTGCAGGAAAACCCAGCTCCAGCATTCAAGGCCGTTTGTCCACTTTCTGCTGCCTGTCCCTCTCACCACTCCTCCTCCTCCTTGCTTACCTGCAGCTTCCAGAACAGGCTGTTCTGTTTCACACCTCTGTGCCTTTGCCCGGGCTGTTCCCTCTGCCTAGAATACTCTGGTCCCTCTGCCTTCCAGCCCACTCCATAGCTTCTGTCAAACTCAGCCTGAGACGCACCTTTGTGCCCACGGCGCCCTATCCCGAAGTCTGCTTAGAGAGACCCTCTGTGTTACTGCGCTCTCTGGGTCAGAATTTGCTGGAAGGCCTTGAGCACAGGGATCAGGCGCCCCCAGTGCCCAGAGCCACTCCAGGCACTTTGTAGGACCTCCTGGTTTAGATGTCTCAAATGTAGACCCTCACAGGCCCTGCCTGGCAGCCCTCCCTGAAGGACGTCCACTGCTGATTTCTGTGCAGTCTGCAGGGGGCGGTGTGGGCCCAGGCTGGCCCCAGGCTCTCCCGTGCTGTTTTCAGCCGGGTCTACCCTCTTCCAGCCAGAAAATCTCTCCTTAGGAGGAGTTAACAAGCTGGACCTCGAAGGAGGAGTTAAAGGCAGTGTCCATCCTCAAAACCTCCTCGGCATCGCCACCCTCATGCTTCTCCCACGTAGTAATCCAGAGTCACCCTCGCCTCTAACGCCTGGGGCCAGTTGCTTGCAAACCTCACCCTCCCTCTTTCCCATCAGCTCTTAGCAACAGCCTCCACCCCAGTCTGTGCCTAGGACCCATGTGCAGGAAAAGATCCTCCTTTAAGAATCTGGGACCCTCAGGGCTCATCTCTCTCAAACAGCTCCCCAGTCACTGGGCTCCACCCTCTTGCTCACCCCAAAGTGATGACATTGCTGTTACCTTGGTAACAGATGCTTTGTGGGTGAGTAGGGGGAATGGACTAGAGAAAGAAAGTGGCTTCAGGACACTCTTAGAGGCATGGGAAGTGGGGGGTGGACAAACTGGCACAGGGCCTGGGGAAGGGCAGCCAGAGGCTGTGACCACCCCTACCACCACCACACCACGGCTGCTGTCAGTCCTATGTCCCCAGCCTCAAGGAGAAAAGAGAGACTAGAAGGGAATGTCTTCCTGGAAAGAGAGGTTTTCCTCGTGGAGGAGAGGGAAACATCCCAACTCATTATCCCCCTCGCAGGAGAGCAAGTCTCCCGGAGAGCTCCAGCTTGGCGGAGGAGTGGGGGAAGGGATTGCATAGACTAGAGCCCAGGTTGTTCCCCTTCAGGGAGCCTGGGGCACAGAGAGAGGGAACAGCTCACCCACAGCATGTTAGGGACAGTGCCACCGGCAGTGGGAGGGCAGCTCTATGCCAGTGTCCCGAGCTCCAGAGGTTGGTGGCAGCAGGGGGTGGAGGGGCCCTCCTCCAGCCCCTGGGGACCTGGCTGTCCCAAATGCCACAGCCGGGAAGTGTGTCAGGCACTTGCGTAAGAGCCTTCTGTATTTCCATAAAATCATAATTACCGATGCCTGCCATTGGCCTTAGCTCATTAGAGAGGTATCTGCCTCTGGGGCCCCGGGGGCGCCTGGCAGGGGAGAGAGGGGAGACTGGACAAGGCCAGGCCTCTCCTGTGTTCTCCACGTCCCCAGCCTCACTGAACTTGGGCCCTCTTCCTCTCCCAGCTGGGAGATGAGAACCCAGACTTGGCCTCAACTGTGACGGACGCCCCTACCCTAGGAGCCCCGATTCTAAAGCTGGAGAGAAAGGCCAGCCATTCATGTTTTCAGCTTGGGCTGTCCTTGGCAACCCATGGGGGCAGAGGCCACAGCAGGGAGGGGCTTGAACTGAAAGTGTTTATGGGAGAAAATAGGTCAGTCCTTAGGGAAGGAGATGCAATCCTTCACCTCAGAGAATCTCAACCTCTCAGAGTGGAGGGGCCCTGGGGGTCATTCAGGCTGGTGGTTCTTAATCTTTTGGGGATCTTAGATTCTCTAAGGAGCAGATGAAATCTCTGGACTCTCCCCAAGAAAATGCTTATCCTCCAAATTTTTACACAGCTTCATGGGGTTCATGAGCTCCCTGAAGCTCATCTGCAAGCCCAAGGTCAAGAATTGCTAATAGGGCCGGCCCCATGGCCGAGTGGTTAAGGTCACGTGCTCTGCTTCAGTGGCCCAGGGTTTTGCCGGTTTGGATCCATGGCACTGCTCATCAGGTCATGCTGAGGCAGCATGCCACATGCCACAACTAGAAGGACCCACAACTAAGAATATACAACTATGTACTGGGGGGCTTTGGGGAGAAAAAGGGGGAAAAAAAAAAAATCTTTGAATGGAATACTACTCAGCCATAAAAAAGGATAAAATCATCCCATTCACAAAAACATGGATGGACCTTGAGGGTATTATGTTAAGTGAAATAAACCAGATAGAGAAAGACAATCTCTGTATGACTCCACTCATATGTGGAGGTTAAACATGTAGACAAAGAAAACAGATTAGTGGCTACCAGGGGAAAGGGGGGGTGGAGGGTGGGCACAAAGGGTGAAGTGGTGCACCTACAACACGACTGACAAACAATAATGTACAACTGAAATTCCACAAGGTTGTAAACTATCATAATCTCAATAAAAAGTTAAAATAAATAAATTAAACTTAAAAAGAATCTCTAATAATAATAATAACTATCTGCACTTACTCTGTCCAGCTCTTTACATATATTAACTCATTTAATCCTCAAAAGAACACTAAGAGATATACAATTATTGTCCCCATTTCCACCTGATCTAGTCCAATTCTGTCAATCTAAAAAGAAGAAAACTGAAGTCCCTCCAGGCCAAGGTCACAGAACAGAAAGAAAAGTCAGACCAGAATGAGGACCAGGCTCTCTGAATGTGCTGGACATTGTGATGCATGCAGATTTGAAGTCATCTGGTCCATCCCTCTGTCCCCCCGCTCCACAGAGCCCAGCGCCGGCTCTGGTTCACTCAGCTCTCCCAGTAAGAGGCACCCCAGTGCTTCCATTAGGGCTTCCCGTCTACAGAGCCCTTCTGAGAGTGTGATCGCCACCATCCCTCTGCAGCACCTCGCCCCTTGTGCTGCCCATCCCTCATTTCTGCCCTCGGAACTTGAGATGGGACAATGTTCCTCCTTCCCCAGGAGGAGCTAGCCTGGCTGCTCCCGCCTGTCCCCAGCCACTGCAGTGGGAGTTGTCGGCACCGAGACAATGACTCAGACTCAGTTCATGAAAGACCGCTCTGAAACACGAAAGCTGCAGGCCAGAAAGGACATCCGGAGGTCATGGGATCCAGCCCCCGCCTCCTCCACATCTGCCCCACCTCATGCTTCCGATGCCAAGACCAGATGGGCCCCAAGGCCCACCAACTTCCCTGCCTT